CCACAAACATGAACTGGATTGGAAGTGGAGGTGCTGGTGCTTACAGCCTGAGTGTTAGCCTGTTGAGCCACAGTGCCAGCCCCCAAAACTCACTGAATTTCAGGGGTGCTTTAGCTGTAGATACAAATACCTTCTGTGGCTCCCTGATGTCACCCAGGACCCAATTACTGCCCATCTCTCTCCTTTGCTGGGCATGGCATTGGCTTGTTCAAGGTTGCTCATGAGTTTCTAGAGTCAGACTTTGGCTGGGACCATAAGGCAGAGAAAACCTCTCCCTAGCAGGATTCTCACAAGGCAGAAGTCCCCAACAGGTTCACACTGAGATTTGATTGGCTTTACTGGATCATGTGCCTCTGCTGAACCAATCGCAGTGGCCAAGTGCTCATCAGGGATCCAACTGGGGACCTTGCCATCAATTGGCATAGCTAAGAGTGAGGAAGGGGCAATTGCTGAAAGGAAGTTGGGGCTCTCACGATCCTGAAAGAGAACAGAGATGTCAGGGTGGCCAACAGTACACGTCCAATCTTCCCATTCTTCCATAAAGGTAGCAATGGAGACTCTGCGCTCCCCTGTGGCTGACCCCCCCCCTTGGGCCAACCACATGATTACGCTCCTTGAGAGCTTTACAGTCATGGGTCCAACCACACAGTGACAAATCCAGGAGTTGCTGGGTGGGAATCGTTGTGGCTGTGTACATTGGCGTATAAGGACAATCATAACAGAGTGGCTGTAAAAAGGCATGCCTGACATTTGACTGCCACTTGGGAAGCTTTCACTAAAGGAGAACTGTTTCAAGTCGAGGATAGCCCAAAGCCTTGAGACCCTGCACCTGCATGGGAGACCAGGAAGAGGCTCCTGGCCCCTAGCTTCAGATTGGCTCAGTGCTAGCCATTGTAGCCACTTGGGGAGTGAATCAATGGATGAAAGATCTTCCTCTCTGTCTCTCCTCCTCTCTGTATATGTGATTTTACAATAAAAATAAATAAATATTTTAAAAAGAAAAAAAAAGGAGAACTGCTTTAATGCTAACAGTGGCTGATGTTGCGTCCCACACACAGCCCTGCACCCTTTCTCAGCTCAACCCCCTCTCCCTTCTCCCCCTGCCCCTGACACCTGCAGATTCAGATGTCCCACTCTCTGCCCCCTCCAGACGAGCACTCACCTGGGAAGCCAGAAGGCAGCCAGGGAGCCCCCGCCGTGTTGCCCGTGTGACCGTAGAAGCCCCTTCCCTCTCCTGTGACTGGAGGCGTTTGTCCCAGATACTCCATATGGCCCCTCTCCGCAGGGATGGCGGTCCTGCCTGGTTTTCCAGGTCATCGTCATGCCCTTTTGACCTTACACTCGCCTTGGCTCCACCCCCTCCACCCCTCCCTGTTTAGAATTCTCAGAAGTGTGCAGAAAGCAGAGACATTGGGGCAGCTCCTTGGGTTTTCTTTTATCTTTGCTCTCAGCTGAACCAACCAAGCTGTGTCTGCCATGGAAGAACTGGGGGTGTGTTAGTCATGGAGCTATTCCACTAAACTCACCCATAATGATTCAGCAAAGGGACTGCTAAGGTGAAACAGAGTGGGGGGGGGAATTGGTACTGACAACATTGTGATTTACATTCTTCCTTCCCCAGCTCCCCAACGCCCCAGCGTGCACGCACGCGCACACACACACACACATACACACACACCTGGAATTTGCTTGGAAGGCAAAGTTAACTCCCTAGATTGGCAGGATGGCAGAGCAGAATTGAACCAGAGATGCTAGGGGCTCCCCCTGAGATGACCCATAATATTTTCCCTCCATCAAAGATCTCTCCTTTCAAATCCACTCCTTCTTGATATAAAAAGGGAAAAGAGCAGAGAGGCATCATCCATGCTTGGTGGACAAGCCTCTCAAGGGGGTGTGGACACCCCGTGTCTTCCAAGGCTGTGATTAGTGCCAATGCACACTCAGGGTGAACTGCAAGTGCCTGACAGAGCCTATACTGCACAAAGGTGGTGCTGAAGCCCTGCCCACGAGGGATTTCCCTGGAGGGAATTCCTCCCTGCCACGGAGCGATTCCTCCAGGCTGGGCTCTACATTTCCAGCCACAAAAATATACTCATAGAGTTGGCAGCATCCTTAAGGAATGGAAATCCTTACTTCTCACTTGACTGAGTGGAGTGTTATTTTGCTACTACCTGCTGGTCATTCGTGAAGTAGATTCTTTCCTTTCCACTCCCCTCATCCCCTGCCACTTGCCATCACCAGCTCTAAATGAGATGCTCACTGTGAATGGATGACAGGCTTTTGGAAACATGGGCACAGTCACCCATCGCCTGGCTGTGATGTTGGGAACTTGTCCCTGTTCACTGCATAGCTTTGTGAGACAGAGGATGCGCTGCACGCTGCTGGCTCTTGGCAGAATACACACGCGGACATTCTGGGCTGCACTGGTTGTCGAGTGTGAATGTCGTTGTGCTGTTGCTATTTGAGTGTATAAGCTGTAGCATCCACCATCATCCTCTTCCTCATCCTCATAGTTACAGAGACAGAGGGGCAGTCCTCTGGTACCAAGGCCATTCTTAGTCGAAGCGTTGCATTTCCCATCTGATGCTTTCAAGACAAAGAAATAAATTAAGAAGTCAACTCCCCTCCCCCTGCCAATCTCTCATTATTCCTCTCCATGGCTTTTGCTTGAGGACTCTATCACCTTCCGATCAGGTGGCAGGCTTGCCTCCAGGACAGCTGCCCTTTGCTGTAGCCTTGGTTGCAAGGCAGTAGTGGCAGTGGTGCTGGCAACTGTGGCTGGGCCAGCAACCAGCTGCCCAGTGCAGGCCACAGCATAAGTGTCCAATGAAGTGAAGCTTCTTAAATGTCTCACCCCTACAGGCAGCAAGGAGGGAACCTGCTGAGGGGTGCCTGTCTCCTCTGCAATGTCAGCTGTTTCTATAGCTCTCTCCCTGTCCTGGTGTTTGCTGTTACCACGATTCAAATGACCAGTGCTGGGTTCTGTCTGTGCCATAAGGACTCCAGTAGTGCCCATGCCGTCAAGGAGAGCGCAGGCAGTGGGAGAGCTTGGGGGAAGAGATTGATTGGGGTGGCAAGGAGGGCTGCCTGGAGGAGGTGTGGTCAGAATGAACCCAGAAGGGCTGAGGAGGAGTCAGATGGGGGAGGAAGAAGAGAAAGGGGGTGGTGCTGCGGCTGTGGTCCTCATGTGGTTGGGGATCTGGTTTTAAGATCTAGGTTGGTTCAGTGGTTAAATGCCAGTTAGGGCTCCCAATTTCCCATGCCTCGGAGGGTCTAGGCTCAATCCCCAGCACTAGCTCTGCCCCTAGCTTCCTGCCAGTGCAAACCCTGGGAGGCACATGGAGAGCCAGTTTGGCTGCCCAGCCCAGTGCCAGTGGTGACAGGACTGTGAGAGGTGACTCAGTGGATGGGCCCTCTTCCTCTCGGTTCGTCTCTCGCTTCCTCAGTCTCTTATGACCTTTTTACACTTAAATTCTAAACAAACTGTTCTGTAGGATAAGGTTTGGATCTGCTCCTTCGTCGTTTCCTCGCCATCTCTTCCCCTCCTGGGTAAAATGTGTAATTCCATTTTCCCTCCAGTATTGAAAAGGCATAGCTCTTATTGAGCTATGAATGACTGAATGACTGAATGAATGATTTTACTCTGGGCCATCTTGATGGAAAGGGACATGTATTCCAAGCCCTGCAGAAGCAGGGTGAGGCATGACCCAAGAGGGGTCTCCCCTGCCTGGGAAACAGCTTTGGCTGAGGAGTTCCCTGGAGGCAGGGTGAGGATGGAAAGCTGAGCTTGCTGGTCCCATCCTTGGCGAACTTCATGAAGGAGAGATGCTGGGTCCCTGGAGATCTGGTAGAATGATTTCTAGTGAGACAAGTATGAAGCAGACAGCAAGATGAACTTGAGGATGGCTCAAAAATGGAAAAAGACAGGGTCAGGGCCAATGGGAAGACATACTTGTCCTGCTGGCTTCCGGTCTCCAGGTAGCAGTGTGCCTGTGCAGGATAGGAAGAGTGAGAAGGGGCCTTGACAGGCTCTTTCTGGTAAGCAGAGGCGCGCGCACACACACACACACACACACACACACACACACACACACAGCCACCAGGAAGCTGCTTTCCAGGGTCTGCAATAGACAGAAGTTGGGGTCACTCTTAGGCACTTGTGATATGGGATATGGTGTCTCTACTGCCAGGCTAGATTCCCGCTCCTGCCCTCGTTCCAGACTTTGAGGATGAGGTAGGATGCAGATACCCACTCACAAATGTTCGAGGGCACAGAGTTAAAAATTAGAGGTGCCAAGGCCAGCATTGTGGCAGTGAGTTAAGTGCACAATGGTGATGCCAGCGTTTCATATGAGCACCAGTTCGAGTCCTGAATGCACCACATCTGATCCCTCCCTCTCTGCTAATGGATCTGGGAAGGTATTGGAGCTGCTGCACCCATCCATGTGAGAGACCCAGATGGAGTTCCTGGCTCCTGGCTTTGGCCTGGCCCAGCCCTGACTGATAAGCCATTTGGGGAGTAAATCAGCAGATGGAAGATCTCTCTGTGTCTCTCCCTCTCTATCTCTGTAATTGTAAATCTTAAAGATAAAAAGGTTGTCCCATTCTGGCTTGGCCTTACGGATGAGTTCACTAAACCAACATAGCACATAATGGGAGGCCAAGGCCCAGGGATGCTGCTCAGGAGCCTCTGGCTGGTCTGGCTGCCCTGGCCTGATGTGTAGATTACTCCTGACAGAATACCTGCCTTCCAGTGCCAATGGGCGTGACTCACAGTAGTGCCAACAGGTCCATCCCCAAGTCACTTCACAATAGGAAAATAGAAATGGCTGGGACAAATAGAGGAAAATGTTCAAAATGGCTTTCTGACTCTGGGTAAACAGTAACCACTTTTTTTTTCCTTCTTTTGCCTGTTGGAGGCCTGGTTTTTAATCACTCCACAAGCAGTTTTCATTTCTGTCGTAAAATTGCTTGTGGTTCTATTTAATTTGTTTCTGCAGGAGCTGGCTCTGACGAAGATCTCCAAGGAGCTAGTGGGCATTTTAGCACAGCACGTACAGCCAGTCAACAAGAGACGCTTTCCGACGTGGAAGAAATTCCTGCAAGCGTTTCTCAGTCAAGGTAAATAGGACCGGGCCTCTTTTCCCCTGAGGATTGGGCCGCTTTTGAGGCTCCTGCATCTTCCCATGTTGGCTCTAAGAGGTGCGTCCCCAGTCAACTCCGCTTCTTTCTGAAAGCATTGCCTAAATATTTATCTTGCACCCAGCCTGTTAAGTAAATGGGACCAGCGTGTGGCTCACACGGCATACAGCATTGCTCACTATGCTGGGCCTTGCTTGCAACAAGGGTTTCTCCCGAGGGGGGTGGGCTTTGGAGTCCCATAACCTGGGTCTGAACTTCACCCATAACCTTGAGCAAGGGTCTAGGGTCCTCCTCGGTCCTGTTTCCTCACCTGCCTACCTCTCAGGGTTGTTGGGAGGACTCAACAAAAGATGGCAATGAAACATCGAAAGGGTCTTGAAAAAATTCATGCAAAGTGCATTCTATGAAGATGCTCTGGGGACCCGCATTCGGTGCAGCAGTTAAAATGCCCCCAAGGCCCTTGGCATCAGGATTGCTTCATTACTGGGCTCAAGTCCCAGGGGTGCTTATGATTCCAGCTTCCTGCTGTTGTGCACCCCAGGAAAGTAAAGATCAAGTTTTTGGGTCCCTGCCACACACAAGGAAGGCCTGGACTGAGTGCCCAGCTCCCGGCTTCACCCTGGCCCAGTACCAGTCACTGTGGTCGTTGAAGATTGAGCCAGTGTTTGGAAGATTTATCTCCCTATTCTCCCTGTCCCTCCAACTAAAAAAAAAAAAGAAAGGGGACAAAAGGGGGAGGTGATATGCAAGGTTTTTATATTGTGGGAGGGCAAACTTTTACTCTTCTGTTTTGCATATCCTTTTTTGAAGACCCCTCCTGCAAATAGGAAAGCTGGCCTCCACTGCAGAGCCCCCATGCAGAGCAGATCTCTCACAAGTGCATCTCTTTCCCCTGCTGAGTTTAGTTGTTCTCAAAGGCGCCACCTGTTATTACAAACAAAAAAAAACCTTCCTTACGAGTGAGTCCACCAACTTGTATAGAGAATTTCCTGCCCAGCCAGGACACCAAACTACCAAGCTAGTCACCTCCTCCTTGTGGAACAAGCAATGCTTGCTGGTCCCCAGGCACCCAGCTCCCTGTGGGGCACTGTGCAGGGGCCAGGTCCGCACCCTCTCTCTGCAGCCAGGAGTATTGCAGTGTAAGCTGGAAGTCCTTGGGCAGTACCCAAGAGCCAAGGAGAGGGGCTGGTACAGCAGCCTACAGATGATTCCATCCCACCCTACTTACTCATAGCTGATGATGGCAGGACAGCACATTGCTACATGGTTGACCAAACAGTGATGTGACGTCAGGGAATCCCAAGAACAGTGGCCACTAACAGTGAGGATGGCCCAGAAGGTCCAGGGAATTCTGCAAGGATGTGTGTGTGACTGTGCCTAGTCCTCCCCCAGCAGCCAATGAAGCAGGAGCCATCAGTCAGAACACTCGTTTTATAAGAGAGGAAGCTGGGCCAGCAAAGATGAGCTCAAATCCTTCAGATGAGCCCATAAAAGGCTGCCTCTGAGCGGCCAGGCACCGTGCGCTGGCCACACCCACAAGACCCTCCTAAGCTACAGGTGGGTGCCAGTTGTGGCTAAATCCTTGCCTTGCACATCCCAGGAACCCATAAAGGCACTGGTTCATGCAAGACTGCTCTACTTTCCATCCAGCTCTGTGCCTGTGGTCTGGGAAAGCAGTATAGGATGGCCCAAGCCTTGGGAATCTGCCTGCACTTGTGTGGGAGACACAAAAGAAGCTCCTGGCTCCTGATTTTGGATCGGCTCAGCTCCGACCATTGGTGACATTTGAGGAGTGAACCAGTGGATGGAAGATCTTTGTCTCTCCTTCTTTCTGTAAATCTGCTTTCCTAATAAAAATAAATAAATCACTTTTAAAAATGAGGCATTCACAGTATGGCTGAAGACAAAAGACAAAGATAAACTCCCACAAGGAGACGGGGACTAGAGAAAACTCCTGTGAGATCTGGAACCTTCTGAACACCGTGCCTTGGAAACCTAGAGATTGCCACAGTCTCCCCCTCTTAACTGTAAAAAATCCATTATTTTTATTCCTTTTTGTGGTATTTTCTTCCACTTAAGAGATGCAGTTGACCTTTTAAGTTTTAAAAGTTTTGAAAGGCAGAGTGACACAAAAAGAGAAAGAGACAGACAGATCTTTCCTCTGGTTCATGTTTCTCTCAAATCCACTACTTTGCACCCATCAGGGAAAACATCTTTGGGGGCCTGGCTCATTTCACTAAGCAGAATGGTCTCCAATTGCGTCCTTTTTCTCCTACATGGTTGAGTAGTATTCCATAGTGTGCATATCACATTTTCATTATCCAGTCATTTGTTGAGTAGCATCTGAACTGATTCCATATCTTAGCTATTGTGACTTGAGCTTCAGTGAACCCAGGGGGCACAGGTAACTTCCTCATATGCTGGTTTCATTTTCTTTGGCTGGGTCAGACAGATGATCTATTTTCATATCTCTGTGGAATCTCCATGCTGCCTTCCACAATGACTGCACTAGTCCACAGCCCCCGCCGACAGTGGAATAGGCTGTCCTTCCTCCCCGACATCTTTCCTTGGCACTTGTTATGGTTGGGTTTGGGGATAACAGCCATTCTAACTGGGGCGAGGCTGTATTTTGAAAAGCATCTTGCAGCTGGCCCTGCACAAGGGCCCGCTGGCTGCCACACTGCAGTCCGTGTGCTCTAGGCCTGATAAACACCCAAGCCCATCAAACCTCCAAAAAAAATAACATTGACTAGAAGGAACCTGCTAGTCCCCAAGATATACCCCCTAGACCCTGGGGAGTTAACTCCCCCGGAGGAATTGGAACAGAACCTTTTGGGTCTACTGTCGATTAAGCCATGCACATGGACTTGATGGTCACCCGTATTCACAATCATGATCACAATCAATGCTACCATTCCTGGAGCCTGGCTCTCTATGCCAAACACTAGGATGAACCCTGCAGTCACTGTGGAAAACAGATTCCCAAGAATCTGTGCAGCCAGCGTTCATTACGCCCATTTCACAGATGAAGAAAAAGAAGTCCAGACAGTTTATGCCACTAACGCTGGTTCCCCCAGCCCAGAACACAGAAGCCACAGGCCTGGGCTCTTCCCCACTTGCTCTGCAATGAGTTGGGTCCTGGCGAGCCTTGCCTTTTCACTACTGCTCCCTGCTTCTCCCACCAGGGGGCGTGATCGAGGCCTTCCCGCCCGCAGACAACGTCACCAACCTGACCGTGGACATGCTGATAGAGCCGGGCGGGGAAGTGCGGGTGTTGTCCACTGGGGACCAGCTGCACGCCGAAAGCCCCTTCGTCTCCTCGGGCACCACCATGCCGCAGGCCTCCGTGGATCCCCAAGTTCTCTGTTCTTTGTGCCTCCAAATTGGAAATGCATGTAAAACCAGAGACGTGGTTGGCTACTTCTCCATAGACCTGGTGACTTTCATCGACCCAAGCACCTTGGAGCAGCAGGTGAGTCCGACGCCTAGTGAAAACACTCAGGCCTTTACAACTCCAGGTACCCCACCCGAAGCCCATGCAGCAGTGAAGGTGTGTTTGGGACCAGCTGTCTGTATTTTCTGCTTTAAGAAACGTGTATGTGATTATAAACATAAGAGGGTCTAAATGGAAGCAGAATGGATCTGCCGAGCCTCCCGGTACCCCACCCAACCTAAGCTAAGTGGTGCCAAGCCAGCTGCTGTATCCTTTTGCCACACCCAGCCTCTTCCTCCCAGGGCACCGGCGGAAGCTAAGGCCTTGTTTGGGCGCGTTGAGTTCCTTCCATGTCTTCGCATGTTTGCTGTACTCGCTTGTACCCTGGGACGACACGTGAAGCACATGTTTAGAAGCATTTTCTGTACTGGGCCATTCTGTATAGGACTATCCCACAGTCGGCCTTTGTTCATTCAGTGTGACACTTAGGAGAAAGATTCTTCCTCTGCACATGGACTGTGACGTAGAATATTCCAGATAAATACTTTCTAAACGTTTTTTGCTTTGCTTCCTCCACTCCTCCAACTTAAAATGTGTACTTCCCCTGCTACTCCCTGGGACCCCTTTTCAAAAATGCCCGGCTGTCCCCGACCTCTGTCTAAAGAGTCCATCCTCCCTTTTCTCTTCCACGGAGTCCCAGATCACCCCAATAGCAATTTCCGTGTGACAACTGACATGTGGGGCCATTTCCAGTGTTTCACGTTTTCCTTTGATCTTCCTGGGCTCCCCCGTGGGTGTCACATTCTGTTCTCAGGCTTGCACACACCCAGAGGGCGAAAGGCAACCCGAGGAGCACTCAGAAAGTCACTTCCCCCATCCTCCCCTCTGTTTTCTCAGCTGCATAGTTAGAAGGCTGGCTTACTTGACTGCTGGAGAAACTTTCAGTTCCAATAATTATTTCTTTCAAGGCCATCTTCATAGTGTTTATTTGCTGAATCAGCTCATTCAAAACTTGCTAAATAAAATAGTCCAATGGCTGATGCTGTGGTGCTGTGAGTTAAGCTGTTGCCTGCAAGGCTGGCATTTCACATCAGCTTCAGTTCAAGTCCTGGCTGCTCCACTTCTGATCCAGCTCCCTGCTAATGCATCTGGGAAGGTACAAGGGGCCAGCGTCGTGGCATGGAGAGTAAAGCTGCCACCTGAGATAACAGCATCCATAGGAGAGCCGGTTGGAGGCCAGGTTGCTCCACTTCTGATCCAGCTCCCTTGTTAATGTCCCTGGGCCAGCGGTCGAAGATGGCTCAAGTTGTTGGGCCTCTGCACCCACAGGGGAGACCTGGAGGAAGCTTCTAGTTCCTAGCTTCAGATCTGCTCAATTCTGGCTGTTGTGGTCATTTGGGGAGTGAACTAGCAGATGGAAGATCTTCTCTCTGTAAATCTGCCCTTTCCAATAAAAATGAAGAAAAAAAAATTTTTAATCACCTCGAATTATCCCAGGTGGACCCAAAGCATGAAGCCTTGAAGAGGGAGGCAGGAGAACCATGGTGAGAGTTAGTATATTCTGCTGGTGCCTTGCAAAGGAAGGAGGGGGAACACGCACCACTGAACGCAGGTGGCCTCGGAAGTCCAGCAAGGCAGGGAAGCCCAGCAAGCCCAGGACTCTGCCCCTACTGTGGTATTCTCCCAGAGAGACCCCGACATCCAGAACCATGACTGGAGGCACATGTGTAGTTGGAAGCTGGCTAGTTATAAGCATCTGTGACACCAGCAATAGGAAACCAAGATGAAGGAAAGTGGCCATTGGCTTGTCTTCTGAGCTCCCTGCGTTGCTGAAATATCAATGAAAGTAAACACAGGTGATCATTCTAATCCTAAGGATCCTCCTAAATTCATATAGCATTTCATCATTTAACAAAGCACTTTTACGCCCTCACACTCGCACACGTCTTGCCGTGGACATGGAGGGCAGAACTCGGAGTCACCCCTTCTCAGATTCTGCCCTAGGGTCCTGCTTCCCATGTGTGCACAGGAGGTGTTCAAGAGCCTGGGGAGCCCAGAAAAGGTGGTACAGGTGACAGTGCAGAGAATCAAGGACAGCGCACGTGCACACACACACACACACACACACACACACACACACACACACGAGCTGTGGCTCAGCTCCAGATAAGGACGTGGGACATCCTGGGGTTCTGGATTACAGAGAGGAAGAATAGTTTGGGAAGCATAGGGTTTGGCAACTGAGGACATCGGGCAGAATACAGGGTTGTTTGGGAAGTAAAGAAACAGAGGTCAGGCCTGGAGGAATGGAGAGAGGAAGAATGAGACGTGGAAGTATGAAATTGGAGCCGCACCTCACGCCACACACAGAAATCAACTCAAAATGGATCAAATATCCAAATTTAACACCTGAGACAAGAAAGTTACCAGAAGAAAAATTAGAGGAAACACTTCCAGACATCGGTGTAGGGGACGACCCCTTGGACGAAACCGCCCCCCCCCCCAAAAAAAAGCAAAACCAAAGAAATGGGACTATGTCAGACTCAAAAGCTTTTACATTGCGCTGTAACACTCACCCCTAAATCCAAAGTTTAAGAGAAAGGACGTGGCTGAAAAAACACTGTGGCTAATCAGTAAAGGACATTTCTCGAAGCACAGGTAGTGACAAAATGAAGTGAGGCTTGTCACAAAGTACAAATTATGAAGACAATGAATGGAGACCGTGGAAATAGCACGGTACCCCAAGAGGTTAGGGCATTGCTTCCAGTGCCGCCCCACCAGCATCCCATCTGGGCTCCAGTTCGAGTCCTGGCAGTTCTGCTTTCAATGCAATTCTTTGTGAATACACTTGGGAAAGAAGCAGAAGATGGCCCAAGGACTTGGGTCCCTGCATCCATGTAGGAGACTAGGATGGAGCTCCAGACCCCGCTGGCTTTGAGCTGGCCCACCTGCGGCTGTGGTGGCCATTTAGAGAGTGAACTGGTGATTGGAAGATTGTCTACTCCATTCCACCCACTTCTCCCTCTATTTCTGTAACTGTGCTTTTCAAATAAATAATTTTTTTTTAAGCAATGGAGATACAACACCAGGGCATCATATCCCACATATTCTGAAAACTATTTCTAAGAATTTCTTTATTTGGAGAACTTCAGTGTAGAATGGGGGGGGCTGTGGAAATAGGCATGAAAATACTTGCATGGTGACAGTCGTGGGTTCTGGCCCCTGTCTTCTCACTGGTCCATGCGATAGCTCACGCACTTGGCCTCTCTGAGCAGTAGGTAGTGAATCCGTGCCCTTCTCGGGGAGTGTTCTGAGAGGCTGCGCAGGCTGAAGGCGCCGTTCTTACTAAATCAAACGGCACAAGCACGTGGAACGCTGTCAAGGAGCCCTCAGCAGGTTCTCAAACTGTGAGTGGAATCGGAATTGAATTAGCAACATTTTTCAAAGTCACTGAGCGCTCTCGTCATCGCAGAGTGATTCACATACGCATCAAAAAAACAAAGGCATTTTCTCTCAGGGGGATGGAACAGCCAAGATCTGCAGCAAAATCGCAATTCCTTCTTGTCCGTTTCAGGATACCCAGCACCTAGCACGTAATAGATGCTCAATAAATATTTATTAAATGAATGAGTGAATGCTTCTCTCCAAATTCCCCCTCCAGAACAGTTATTTGCAAGCTGCCCCTCTCTCTGCCTTCAACACAGTCAAGTAGTTCACCAAAGGAGTTCAACAAGATGCACTTTTATTTTTTTTGTCTCTTCGGGGAAGGTGTTTTATTTATAAACAAGAAGGTTAACAGTGTAGATCTAAATTAAAATTTAATAGGCTTCGAGTATAAACGGAAGTACCCGTTACTCAGCGTTTTTAAATGCTGCAATAAGCATATGGTTAATTGCGAGTTAGTACCTAGCGAAGGGGAAATAGATCCCAGAGGACTGTGCCACATTAAAGCTCTGCCCCTTTAGAAGGTCCACATGTTCGAGTCCACGAGAGAGAGCAGTAATCCACGAGTGATCATCAGGACGATGATTCCATCGTGAGTACAAGGGCCAACCGCACGGTGAGAATGACCGACGGGTGGCCACCTGCGCGGTACAGCGTAGGCACCCGCACACGATTGCCCTGGGTGTCTGTTCTGGCCCCATCCGTCGCGAACCTCAATATTCAGGAAGGTGGAGAGCTCGGGTTGATCTGCCTGCATGATGGCTGGCTCCGGTCATTGTCCACCTGTGTATTCTTCAGATGCTCCCCGTCCTGACTCCCCTCCAGGCAACACCAGGCCGCCTCTCTCTCTCTTTCTCTCTCTCTCTCCTTCTTCACTTTGAAGGCTTTTCACCAGAAACTTTGCTTGGGCAGCAGAAATCTGGGCTCTCACACTGCCTCCCACACTCTTCAGGAGGTAGTCTGTCTGGGCAGGACCCGAGGCTGCCAGAAGGGGTAAGGCTTCCGGCTGAGACTGCAGGAAGAGACCACAGATTTTTCCCTCACTTGCCTGAGAGCATCGCAATGCCAAAAGCCTTTCTCTTACTTCCGGCTGCCACCTATGGTTTCAATTTTTTTTTAAGATTTTTTTTTTTATTTGAAAGGTGGAGACACAGAAAGAGATCTTCTTCCATCCTTTTATTCACTCCCTAAATGGTCACAATGGCTGGAGTTGGGCAGTTCTGAAGCCATGGGCCAGGAAGCTTATTCCAGGGTCTCCCATCTGGGTGTAGGGTCCCAAGGTCTTGGTCCATCCTCTTCAGCTTTCCAGAACATAATCAGGGAGTTGGATAGGAGTTGGAGCAGCCAAGACAACAGCTAGAGCACACATGAAATCCAATGCGCACATGATCCATGGGATCAGCTGGTTGAGCCATGACGTAGGCCCTGATTGAGATTTTATGTATAATAAATTGTTCCTTGCAAAATTGTCCTTTCTGGGATGGGTGTCTGGCCTAGCAGTTAAAGTACAGGTGCAACACGTCCATGTCCCAGCTCAGACTGCTGGCGCTCATCCTGACTCCTGCTTCCTGCTGACATGCACCCTGGGAGGCGGC